TTTGCCCTCCCAAACTCTCCACGTGTCCCATTTTTGCCCTCCCTGGCCCCCAGAAGCATTCTGCAGGCCAAAACCAGCCCGTTTTTGGCCTGCAGACTGCTTCTGGGGACCAGGGAGGAGAAAAACGGGATGCACAGAGGATTTGGGAGGCCAAAAACGGGCCAGATTTTGGCCTGCAGAGTGCCTCTGGGGGCCAGGGAGGGCAAAAATGGGACACACGGAGGGTTTGTGAGGCCAAAAAGAGGTCCCTATTCACTCTGTAAGATGCACAGGCATTTCCACCCACCTTTTTTGGTGAAAAAAGTGTGTCTTATAGTCCAAAAAATACGGTACTTGGACATTATTTTGAAAATGAAATCTGAACACAAGTTTAATGTGTCACATCCAAATTCTATTTAATGAGTGTCTTGTCAAGTCAAGGTATTGCTGTATAAATAGTCTTTGTTTAGCGACTGCCTTATTCTGTGACCATTAGCAGTTACGATAAAAAAGTAACTTTGCAACCAGTCCTCATATTGATGACCTCAGATCTGTGAGCTGAAGTAAGATCATAAGCACAATTACGGTTTCATTTAGCAACTGCTTTGCTTAAATGACCAAGCTGCAGGTACTAATCGTAGTCTCTAAATGAGGGTTATTGTACACTATTTTTAGTCTTGGAATTTCCCTGTATATTGCTTGTCTTCTGTTGCAATGTATCTTCCTTGGTTGCTCCTACATATGGTCAAGTAAATGAAGAGTTTGCTAGATGGAAAGCCTACCACAATCCTTTTCTATTTATGCTATTATGTAGTATGTATCCAAAAGAGTTTGCAATATAATGCCTGGGAAATTTTTGGACCCTGAATTTTTCCATTCTCACGATAAGTCTTTTGTTGCTGGATGGTGACTGCCATATCTCGGATGGGAATGGGACAACTTGCTGCAGCCAACTCGCTGCAGCAAACTCACTGCAGCTGACTCGCCATGGCCAACTCACCATGATACAACTCATTGTGGGACAATTTAACAATTCTATTTAATTATTTAAAATAAATAAAAATCATTTTAATTTTTGCCATCTAACTGTTCATTCCATCACTCTTTTTGCATTATTTCTTTAATGTTTCTGTTCCACCATTTCTTCAATATTAGTGTAACTCTTATCCAGCAGTGAGTCGTCCTGTGGCAAGATGGCCCTGGCGAGTCCTGCAGTGAATTGGCTGTGACCAGTTGACCGTGGTGAATATTCATAGACGCTCTCCGATGAATGTGAAGTAGATACTGCAATACTGAAGCTAGCCTTCTTTTCCATGCAGTATGCTTTTTCAAACCCCTCTGTTTTTGATCACAGCATGCTTGACAATCCTGGCAACTTATTACATAGGATTAATTTTATTTAAATTATTTTAGAGTAAAACCAGTTACAATAAAATAGTGTACATTAAGTACCCATGTAATAACATTTGTACATAAGAATATATGTACTAACATATATTCTTTCTTTTGTTTCTAAAGGTAAAGAATGGCCCTATGTATAACTGTACAGATTGTAGTTGTATTTTCAAAAGCTTAGGCAGCTTAAATACTCATATCAGCAAGATGCATATGAGCGCCACACAAAACACAACAAATTCTACTACAGAAACAGCTCATATTACAACGGTAACTTTTATATTCTAATATCTTTGTCCACTTGCATTACATTGTATGGTATAATTTTGCTTAGATGGTACAATATACTATATGGGTGTTAAACTCAAGGCGCTGGGGACCGGATCCAGCCCACGGGGTGCTTAGATGTGGTTCATAGGGCTGCCCTGGGAACCGCGAAGGTCTGGCCTGTGATGCCTCTGCCACCGAAAACAAAGCTCAGGAGGACTGTGTGCAGCCCTCGCGAGCTCGGTTTTCAGCCGGGATGGCCTCCTGCAGCCCTCTGTCAGCTAAAGTGGAGGTCAGAGGGGCTCCATTTTTGCTAGCAGAGAGCTGCAGGAAGCCGTCACAGCCAAAAATGCAGCTCGTGAAGGCCGCGTGCGCCCCCTCAAGCTCAGTTTTTGCTGGCAGAGGATTGCAGGAGGTCGCCTCAGTCAAAAACGCAGTTTGAGTTCAAATACAACCCTGATGTGGCCTTCAATGAAATTGAGTTTGACATCCATGCACTATATACTATTATGCCATTTATAAATGTACAGAAATTCTATTATTACTTTACTTTAAAAAAAAACCCTCTTCACTGATTGTTGAAGTGATATATGCAAAGTGACTCTTCAAAGTGCTGAGGGGAGGAGGAGTCAGAAAATATTTCTGTGAACTTTTGTAGAATTTTAATACAGTTTCAAAATGTTCGTCTTCTAAATCTAATGAAAAGTCAAAATGAGCCTGCTAGAAAATAGTTATTCTTCATGTCCACAATAGACTATTTTCACAATAGGGAAATTGTTTGCTTTTCTTGGTATTACTCATAAATGTTTTTACAAAGCAGAGTTTCTAGAGCATTTTCTGTTACTTAAAACATTTTCATGACTGAGTAAATATTTGCAGAATATGTAAAATGTGCTAACTTTTACTTCAAGGGATGCTTTTGACCTCAACTGAAAGTCTCACTCCACTTGTCTAGCAGTCTGATAATTTTCTCATGTGCCGCTAGCGATTTTGATCAGAACATAGAAAAAAAGCAAACAGAAATTTTCTTGGTATTCTTTGACCAGAAGAACAGACACATGAAAAAATCATTTGAGTGTTCAAAAAATAAAAAATGGCACTTATTAGTCATGTCTTAAAGAAAAGCATGTTTTTTCATCCTTTAATAAATAAATATTCAATAATTTCAGTCAATAAATTCTCTAGAATTATATATTTTATATCAGGACTTTAACAGGTTTATCCTAACATAGTCATAAATGAAACTAATTCTGCAATTTATTATTCTACCATGTTTTGTTTTGAAAGTAGATTTATATATATATATATATATATATGTTTCTTAAAATAGGATTCGGTGGCTCAGCCATTGACGTTAACAACAGTTAATTTACTGCAGCCTGTGGACAATAAATGGAAAAATGTAAGTATTCAGCTTCTAACCTTAATGAGGTGTTATTACTGTTGTAAAATCTCATAAGGGGCTCATTGCAGAACTTTTTATATATTTCATAATCATCTCGGGGAGATACAGTTATCCTTGAGAGATTTTAAAGGACTTTGTGATATTATTTGTGAATATGCTGTTACTAATCTTGTGCCACTTGCAGGAATGCTGAGTGATCTATCAACTCTCATAACTGGAGTATATTGAACATTCTTGCATTGCAATTTAGTAGCAAAGAGGAGATTAGCATGGGTATTCCTGACATTACTGGATGCCTATTTAAAACAAAAGTCAAATGTAACCCAATAGAAGGCAAACACTGCCAAAATTGTGCTCAAAAAATATGTGGACGCCAGATGTAATAGCCAATATGAATACCAAAAATTCCAGACAGGCCAGAAACAGATTATCTAGCAGACACCATTTGAATCATAAAATGATCCTGAAAATAACCTAAAATTAGACATGAAATCAATAGTATTTGTAGCTTACAAGAAGATTAAATGTATTATATATATGAGATTTGTTTTTAACCATTTGCTTTTCCGCTTTTATTTTTTCACAAAGTGCCCTAAACAGTTAAAATGTGAAGCTGAATAAATTACAGGGTAGCTGTTAAAGTAACACATTAGGGAACTTCTAATCAGCACATTTAGAATATATTTTTAAAGTAATAGGTGGGAAGGTTCTTGCAAAAAATTAGCTGTTGCGGAATATTAACAAAGCAGCAACAGTGCACTCAGAGGTACTTCAACAAAAGAGCACTTATGGCAGCCTTCTGTAGAACCTGAAATTTCTGAGCTATCTACAAAATCAGAAAGTATACAGAGCACAGGAAATCTTAAAAATTATGAATCTGCTGTTCCAAGAGAAGTAAGTTTGTTCACTTATTAATCAATTTGTGTGCTCACAATTTCATTCCAGCTCATGGCACTGAACTGTTAGAACAGATATTTTTATTACACTACCAGAACAATAAGCACTAGTTGTTCTATTGGCAGAGAACTATGCATCTGGTTGCCCTGCTATTTATTTATATATTTTACCAGGTTTTTATACCACTCAGTTCAAAAGATTTAATGGCTTATACTTCTCATTACACCAAGAAGTACATATAATAAGAGTTTAAAAGAATATGGCAAAGCAAAGTAAAACCCAAGAAAACAATAAACCTCACCTCTATCACTTTTTAAAATGTTGGTTATGCATGCAGGCCATCACTGAGTTGATACTGATTTATAAGCATTACCTTTTTAGAGACATACAAGAATTTTTATTGGTAGTACCCTGTTTCTCCAACAATACGGCCTCCCCCAATAGGAAGTCCCAGCATGTTTTATAGGTATGAAATGAAATTAAGCCCCTCCCCCCAAATTAAAACACGCGAAATGGGGGGAAATGGGGGGGGGCTTGCTGTTAGGAAGTACTTTTGTTGCACACCCGGATATGGTGCTGCCTGCGTTGAACCTAATACAAAGTGCCCCACCAACGCCGAGGTCAACATCCAAGCCGTTGCCGCCCGCCCTAAGATGCAAGGGTGGGGGGATTAAGTTACCCCCGAAAAGACGGCCTAGCTGTATTTTCAGGGCTCAAAAAAAAATAAGACCCGGCCTTATTATATGAGAAACACGGTAATTGTTCAGCTTTAACAATATCCTCACAAACATTTATAATGGAGTGAGCCTAAAGTTACAGGGCACTAGAATTGTTACATTATTAAAATATTTTATCACAGCAGAACACTAATGCTATTATCAAGCCTCCTTCCATCATTTTAAAATTATTAGATTACATGGTTTATAACATGCCTTTACAGTACACATGCCTTTCTTGATTTTGTTATGCAATAAAGCTCCTCCAGTTAATGAACTGGCCTTTTTTTCTGGTAATTAATTCAGGATATATGCTTTTATTTCTAATAAGTCTCTATGAAAATTTTCATATTTGTGAAACATGTTTGAATTTAACATTGCAGATTGTAAGGTAAAATTAATTTTTGTCCAACTTTGAAATATTGCTCCTTGCTTGCTGTTGGATTATTAAACAGTATGGTTCAATTTCATTTAAAAATATCACTTTAATTCCCAATGTTCTATGTGATACCTGAAATGTGTTTGCAAATCACATCTGTATACTCACAAATGATTTATCCACAGACAGAAAATCCAATAACTCCAGCTGTAGGACATCAAGGTCAGCAATCAGTAACTGATGTCATTCAACAACTCCTTGAATTGTCAGAGCCAGTGGAAAACAATCCATCCCAGCCATCTAGTCAGCAACTCAGTATGGCTGTGGGAATCAACAGAGATATTTTGCAGGTAGGACAACCTACTGTATATACTCGAGTATAAGCCTAGTTTTTCAGCCCATTTTTTGTGCTGAAAAAATCCCCCTCGGCTTATACTCGAGTCAGATTCCCCTCTGAAAAAAAAATGGTGTGGAGTCGCGGCCTCCGGCGGCAGCGACTCCCAACAGCCCCAGCCGGGAAGGGAAAGGCAAAAAGCGCTTTGCCTTTCCCTTCCCGAGGCGGCGGGACTGGGGCCGCGCCGGCGGTAGCGACTCCTGACTCAGGGGGCCTCCGAGGGAGGGGAAGAGAGTGACTCCTGCCTCCCGCTGTCATCATCATCTTCTTCTTTTGGGTTAGTGAATCAATTAAACCTTTCATGATAGTGAGATCGTTTCCCAAATTAATTTTTTTTATTTTTGAAATTTACCAGTAGCTGCTGCATTTCCCACCCTCGGCTTATACTCGAGTCAATAAGTTTTCCCAGTTTTTTTGTGTAAAATTAGGTGCCTCGGCTTATATTCGGGTCGACTTATACTCGAGTATATACGGTATTTGGAATCCTCACCTTGTCTTTTAGAATATTGCAGTCTCCTTATTTGGCACAAAAGAATAATCAAAGCATCCCAGACTAATTTCTCTCTTGTGTGGATTCAGGAAATGCTTTGTCTATGGAAATTCTCAATCATCCAGGTCATGGTTGTTCCATAAGTGCTTTTCCGAAAGGCAACTGGACTTCCTTGGTTTTTCTCAGTTCTGAAAAAGCTTCTTGGATGAGAAGTGAAATGTTTTTGAGGAAGAAACCCAAAAAAGTTAAGTTGCTCTTTGAAAAAGCACCTCTGGGACTTCAGCAGTGGTGCTCGAAATTCAGGCTGTTCCTGGTGGCTGAAAACAGGACTATTTTCTGATTGTGATCATTTTGTGCTGAATGCCCACTGAATGCCTACAGGAGCATTACGCTCACCCAAGTATTGCTATTTGAGTACTGTCTTCTGACAGGAATGCTATTGGTGGTACTTCTTTCCGCTGGTTTCAGGGTTTTCAAAATACCTGTGAAACTCCAGTTTTCAGTGTTAATAGGACTGTAAAACATAGAAAAAATAAATTATCTTTAAAAAGATGATGTTATGTGGCAAAATGCTGTTTAAAATGAGCAATGGAATATGAATGAGCTGGTCATTATTCTAAGTTGTTGAAAGAAAGCTTTCGGCAAATTTCTAGTTTCTCGGTTGAAAGTATTAGAAGTTATGCTTTCCCTTTTTTGCCAATTTGGTTGTTACTTTTGGAATCTAAGTAGAGCTTTACACTTTTATTGTGCTTTTCTTACCTGGGGAATAGAGAAAACAAAGCTGTGAAGTGTTCAAATTGAGCTGGAATCTGAAAGGGTAAAATAAATCAGATATCTCTGAAAAACAAACCAGTTTAAATATTCTTGTCTATTTGAAAGTTCCACTTGAATCTTGCTCTCAGTTTAATTCATTATGTTTGTCTTAGCAAGCCTTGGAAAATAGTGGGCTATCCTCAATACCAGTTTCAGCAAACACTGACTGCAGTGAAACGAAGACTCCTCCGAGTCCAGAAGAAGCTGCAGATGCTCAGAATCTCTCCGGTCATCAAGTCAACTCCAACAATACGGAACAAGTTAAAGAGCGAGACAACCCAGAGAAAGTAGACAAAAAAGAAAAAAGGGTTCTGAAGAAAAAATCCCCATTTTTACCTGGTAATGGCAAAAGAGCAAAGTATGAAATGGCTGTATTATTTAAATATATGTATAATACCTAGGCATTATGCAAAATGACAAGAATTGACCTATTTGTTCCAACAATAAAGGCTAGAAAGGCTAGTATTTTATACTTTGCCAGTTTACCTTTTGGCATTGCATAGAATTCATAGGAAATGTGTGAAATATTAATCATTTCATACTTTGACTCCTCATTTGTTGGCATTCTATAAATGCCAAATTTCACACATTTCCAGCAACATACACTATAAGCATTATTTAGTAATATATAGTATAGCATTATCACTGCTGGTTGCCTTTTTGTACAGTAGTACAAGCTGAGTATACCCTTTCTGTTCACTATTTGACAGGTTTCTAAAGTAAAAAAAGTCTCTATAGATATTGCATTGTGTAACTATTTTCTATTTAGAGCTAGCATATCTAGTAAATTGTAGGATCCAGGCATATTGTACTGTACTGTACTAGGGCCATTCCTAGTCAAACAGGTGGGAAAAGATGAGAAAAATAAGGAGAAAGCTCTCCCCTCCGCCCCAGATTCTATTCCAGACTTATGCATACTAAGAGAAAGGGCACTCTCCTCTAGATACAAAGAGAGCCCTTAAAATCTGCTTAATAATTTGGAGAATGTTGTCAAAGAATGTCTTTTCAGAAAGCGTTGTGAAAGTTTCTAGAGAGATCTGGAAAAATATAGTCCGGTAAGAAATTCAGGCGCATCTTTACAGGAACTGCTGTCAGATCTCAGGTCAAACTCAACTTACAGAACCCTTTACTTTTATTAATTTATAGAGTAGTTATAACAATCTGTTTCACTGAAACATTATTCCTCAAATAGTGAGTAATTCAGTCTCCCAATTAATGTCACAGTTGCTTGATGACATTTGCCAAATGTAACCTTATGCTTCATTTTGAATTCCAGTCTTTTTTTTCCTTTAACAATTAGAATGTCAACCTTTTCAAATTGTTTATATTTCAGGTTCCATACGTGAGGAGAACGGAATACGATGGCATATTTGCCCGTACTGCTCTAAGGAATTTAAAAAACCCAGTGATCTTGTACGGCATATACGCATTCACACTCATGAAAAGCCATTCAAATGTCCACAGTGTTTCCGGGCCTTTGCTGTGAAGAGTACTCTCACAGCACATATAAAAACGCACACGGGCATTAAGGCTTTTAAGTGTCAGTACTGTATGAAGTGCTTTTCTACCTCAGGAAGTTTGAAAGTACATATTCGCTTGCATACAGGTAAAATCTAATGTTTTGAAGCCCTGCTTATGTTTAATCTTAGCAAAAAAAAAAAGTTTTCCTGTGTCATAACCCTATTTGCTTGTCAGCTGTGCTCAGATCAAACATAGCAAAGCAGGACCAACAGTATCATGTTTTCATTGTAAAATATAACTGTTTATGTATTTAAATTTAATATATGTCAGTCCAGAAAGAAAAGACCAATAGAACTATAAATTATGTATGATTGAGTTTCTGTGGGTTCATATTACAGTGTTTGTGTAGACATGTGGTGGAGACTTTGGATCTAATTTGGCTATTGTGGAGCTTTAAGCAACTCTTATTCAAAGTGTCTATGGAGATTCTCAATCATCCAGGTTATGGTTGTTTCAAAGAAGTTTTTCCAAAAGGCATCTGGACTTTTTTGGAAGAAAGTCTGGTTGCCTTTTGGAAAAGTACCTTTGGAGCCCTATCCTTATCTCGTACAGCAGGCATCTTAGTTAAGGTGCTGGGCAAACTCTGTTTTTTAAGCCTTTGCGGGAGGCATGGACCATTCAGGATTGTTGGAGTACTTTCTATGCTCAGATAAAATATTATGAGCAGAGTTGTCTTGCGTGTCTTCAGCTTACATATACAGCCATTCTTTGTGTGCTCTGCATGTTGCACATTGGGGCAAGGAGTGGATGGGTGAAGCTTGTATGTTCTCTATTGTGTGGAAAATGTTTGTTCTCTCTCGTGATCCTACAGGGCAATCTATGTCCATGCTGGGGAAAGCAGGCTTTGTCTTATAATTTTATTTTTAAATAGAAATGTTTTAAGTCAAAGCTTTTGAATTAATTAAGCATATTTGATTGTTTACCTTATCATCTTTTTATCTATTTATTTTTAGGAGTTGGAAATAAAGATATAATCTGTTTGTCTTTTGTAGGTATTAGACCCTTTGCTTGTCCACACTGTGACAAAAAGTTTCGAACTTCAGGTCACAGAAAGACACACATTGCTTCTCACTTTAAACATACTGAACTGAGAAAGATGCGGCATCAGCGGAAACCTGCAAAAATTCGAATAGGCAAGAGCAATGTGCCAGTACCTGATATTCCTTTACAGGAACCAATCCTCATCACAGATTTAGGTAATGTGTGTAGCATAATTTTGCTTGAAAGAAATTTCAATATTTATTTAGAAGACTAGAAGCGAAAGGAATGTGTCTACTTGATCAAACTAGATTCAGATAGTTTGAGAAAATATTCTTCCATGGTGTAATATTTTAGCTATTATTATGCAAGAAACATAATTAGAAAAGCAGTTTCATTCTAGTTTGTCAGGACTACTTAGCCAAGATAGAAATAAAGTGTGGATAAAATACATTATCTCTTCTGATATAGTGTTATTTATATTTAATAAGGTTTTGCAAAGCATTTGAAAGTAATTTGCATGGAGGAAACTTTCTAAGCAATCACAGTTGGCACAGCTTTTTAAAAATCTTTCAAAAATAAATGCACGTATTTTAAACAGTTTGGACTGATCTAATCTGTAGGGCTTCATCGAGGATATAAATTCAATATGTTGTACTGTGTATAAGCTAAACTTTTCATTTTAGGAGATTTACAAATGCACAATTTTATTAAAGGACAGACAATCTGTTTTTCAAAATTCAATGTAGGCAGATATAATAAAACAATTATTCACATTTGCAAATATCTCCTGATATTTAAGTAATCTAAAAGTTTTAATAATTAGGCTATCTTAGTCTTGGAGAAATTTTGATTGGAAACATTCTTTTTTAAAAAGGGTTCTTAAAATTGATACATAATTCTAATGGTCCAATTTATAAATATTTTATTCACATCAATTAAAGGCTAGTGCTGTGCTTCAACTTTGAAGACAAAATGGTGCTTCGGAGTGGGGATGCTTACAAATGTAAAACCAGCCTTCAATTTCTTAAATGTGTCTGGTTGCTAGACCTGCATAGAAGATGCAGAGGACAGCCATGTACTCCTGGAAAAGGAATGGCTGCGTTAAGAAGTTGCTGCACTCATAACCACAGGTGTTTGAAAGCTCCATTATGTCTCTCAATCTGAATAATGTTATTGCTAAAGTATTTAATTTTGAAAATGGATCATTGGCCTAGTTAGTACAATGTACTGCCTTCCTGAAAATTTTATATACATTAAGGAAAAAAAGGTGATTATGAAAAAAGCAACATTTTCATTTCTATTTAGGAACCAGAATATGGTAAACATTGGAAAGATTATTTTGTTTTAAAATAGCATTAATCTGCCATTCTTTCTGCAGGTCTTATTCAGCCAATCCCAAGGAATAGCCAATTTTTCCAAAATTATTTCAATAATAATTTTGTGAATGAAGCAGACCGGCCATACAAATGCTATTACTGTCACAGAGCTTATAAGAAGTCTTGTCATCTTAAACAGCATATCCGGTAAATTTACTTAAAAATAGAATGTTTTGAATTATTATAAAAAATAATGAAGAACAAATGATTTTTTCTTGTTTTTCAAGCTCCCTGTTGCAAATCTTATTTTGATAATTTCAAGAAATATTCAATATTAAAACTTCAAGACAACGTAATTGTGCTTATATACAGTGTGTGTGTGTGTGT